ACGGGGCTGGGGATGTGGGTGTATGGGGCTGGGGATGTAGGGGTACGGAGCTAGGGATGCAGGGATGCGGGGGCTACGAGGCTGGGGGTGCAGGGATGAGGGTGTATGGGCTGGGGATGCGGGAATGTGGGGGTACAGAGCTAGGGATGCAGGGATTGAGGGGTTTGCGGGGCTGGGGATGTGGGCTCCAAAAGTGTAGGGCTGTGGGATGCAGGGGTATGGAGTTAGGGATGCAGGGATGTGGGGGTACGGAGTTCGGGATGCAGGGATGTCAGGCTATGGGGCTGGGGACACGGGGATATGCGGGTACAGGGCTAGGGATGTAAGGATTGGCAGTTATGGGGCTGGGGATGCCGGCTGCAGGGGCACAGGACAGCGGGATACAGGGATATGGAGCTGGGGGTGCGGGTCCAGAACAGCAGGATACGGGAATACAGGGCTGGAGATGTGGAGTGCGGGGCTATAGGACAGCGGGATGCAGTTACAGGGCTGTGGGGATATGCTGTAGGGACAGGGGGTGTTGGGATGCAGGGATACAGCGCTGGGGATGTGAGTTGCAGGGGTACAGGGCAGTGGAATGTGGGGATACAGGACTGGGAATGTGGGATGAAGGGGTACGGGGCATTGGGATGTGCGTGGCAAGGGCACGGGGCTGTGGGATGCGGGCTGCAAGGATAAGAGGCAGTAGGACGTGGGATGCAGGGATATGGGGCTGTGCTAGCCAGGCTGCAAAGGTACAGGGCTGTGGGATGCAGGGATAGTGTGCTCTGGGATACGGGAGAGGCAGGGCTGCGGGCTGCGTGGTCGGAGAGCTGCGGGATACGAGCTGGAAGGATAAGGGACCGAGGGATGCCTGCTGCAAGGATGCAGGGCTGGGGGATCAAGGGCTGGGGGATGCAGATCTCCAGGGCTGTAGGATGTGGCGTTAGAGGATGTGGGGATACGGGACTGCGGGTTGTGGGATGTGAGGAGACAGAGCTGTGTGTGCACAAGCCACAGGGCAACGGGGCTGCGGGACGCAGAGATACAGGGCTGTGGGGTACGCAGCTGCGGGGAAGGCAGGATATGGGAATTCAGGGCTGCAGGATGAGGGATACACGTCTGTAGGATGCGGGATGTGGGAACAGGGGAAGCAGGATATGGATAGCCGGAGCTGCAGGATGCGGGACTCACGGGAAGCAGGATATGGCCAGACGGGGCAGCAGGATGCGGAGACACGGGGCTGTGCGGGGTTTGGGGATGGGCGGTTGTGGGTGCGGGACGGAAGCAGGGAAGCAGGCACCCCAGGGAGCGGGCTGTCCTGAGGAAGGCAGAATCCTCTGTTCTGCTGGAGGGGTTCCTGCAGAGCCCTCCTTTTTCCCCCCCCCGGGGCTTTGCACCCCCATTGTCCCACTGCACCCAAGCACTGGGCACAGCCCGAGCCTGCCGCTGGGACAGCCCTGCTTGGGCTCCCGTTCCCCATCCCCTCCTCTGCCAGCCAAGGGAGCCCTTCCCACCCCAAGGGTGCCCTCTCCCCAGGTGTCCCCACAGCCCAGCCGGCAGCGGGTGGCCGAGCCGGTGTCACAGAGCTTCTCTTTCCTCTTCCAGGCCAGTCGTGGAAGGCGCTGAGCGCCAGCGACAAGCGTCCCTTCGTGGAAGAGGCAGAGAGGCTGCGAATCCAGCATCTCCAGGATCACCCCAACTACAAGTACCGCCCAAGGAGAAAGAAGCAAGCCAAGAAAATCAAGAGGATGGAACCCAATATCCTCCTGCATAACCTTTCCCAGCCTTGCAGTGACAACTTCAGCATGAGTCACCATGGCGGCAGCCAGCCGGGCCACCCCCAGCCTCCCCCACTTAACCACTTCAGAGAACTCCACTCCATGGGGTCGGATATTGAAAACTATGGCTTGCCAACTCCTGAGATGTCTCCCTTGGATGTCTTGGAACAGACCGAGCCGGCGTTTTTCCCTCCGCACATGCAGGATGACTGCAACATGATGCCCTTTCGAGGCTACCACCACCATCACCAGATGGAGTTTCCCCAGGAGAAGTGCATGGGGCGGGACGTGGCGGTGCCCTACGCGCAGACCCCCTCGCACTTGGCCGACGCCATGAGGACTCCCCATCCCTCCAGCATATACTACAACCAGATGTGCTCGGGAACTCAGAACGGGCTTTCCGCCCACCTGGGCCAGCTCTCGCCCCCACCCGAAGCCCACCACATGGAGAGCGTGGATCACTTGAACCAAACCGAGCTCTGGACAGACGTTGACCGCAACGAGTTTGACCAGTATTTGAACATGAGCAGGACTCGTCCCGAAGCCTCGGGACTCCCTTACCATGTCTCCCTGTCCAAAGTGACTCCTAGGAGCATCTCCTGCGAGGAGAGCAGCTTGATATCCGCCCTGTCCGATGCCAGCAGCGCTGTTTACTATAGCCCCTGCATCACCGGTTAGGTTGGCTCCACCGCCCGATGCTCTCGCCGGGAGAGCCCCGTCTCTCCCCTTAAAAAAATAAAAACCAAAAAAGCCATCCTCCTTTAACCACGAGCTCCATAATATTTAGAGTATCTCATTAAATGCATCGCTTTTTTTGTTCGTTTTTTTGGTTTCGTTTGTGTTTTTTTTTAATTTTTTTTAAATTTTTTTTTAATTTTTGTTTTTGTTTTTGTTTTCTAGAGGAAAAAAAAAATAAACCATGCTGAACTCACTGATATACCGTATAACTATATAACACAGATAGATGCCTTTCCCCAGCACTAGCCTGCCTGCCGCGCTCCCCGCTCCAGCCCCCGGCAGGGCACAGCTCCAGCTCCCACCAGCTCCGAGGGGCATCATGAAGCCTGTTCCAGTAAATCCTGCCCAAAACAACCACCGCCAGGACCAGCCAAACCTGCCCCCCCAGTATTTAACCCAAGGGCAGGAGAACTTGTGGAGGTGGGGGGAGAAACTTTTAAGGAAGACTTTGCCGGGGCCGTTAAAGAGTCGGCGCCTGTTAGGGGTGGGCTTTAGGACAGTTTTTACTGTATTCTCAGCAATATATTTTAATTGGGCAACAAAACTATATTTTTACTAAGCATTTTTATATATAAAATGGTATTTAATGTCTTCTGGGTTTGTTTTTTTTATTAGACTTTTTAAAAATAAATCAAGGGATATCCATGAGATCTAAAGCATTTATGTAGCAAAGCTGGATTTAAAGAAACAAAAAAAAAAGTGGGGGGGGGGAACAGGAGATATTTTGTGAAAAGGGAATGACAATGTAAATATTGTGGAACAATTGACTGGAATTTTGTACAAAAGAAAAATATGACTGCAAACACTTTTATTGTCTAGAACTGTATGGAGAGCAAACTGTTTTATACTGGTTAATTATTAAAACATCTTCATATAATTGTTCCCATCTTGTGCGCTTGTTGTGTGAACACATATTTTCCGCAAATACATGTTGTCCCAACCATTTCCAGATTTTTTTGTATCCGTTGATTAATGTTTTGACAACCTGGCAGATGTATTAATTTCCAGGCTGCCGCCCGCCCGCCCCGTCGGCCGCCCCGGGCTCGGCGAGCGCGGCTGGGCTCGGCGCGGGACGGCGGCTCCGGCGGCTCCGGCAGCGGGATGGGACCATGGCAGCCTCCTGGAGATGTGCTCTGCAGGAAAAGCTGCTGTTCTCAGCTTTAAATATAATAAAAACATGTGATATCCTCCTCCGCAACCAGCCTTGGTGTGGTTATTATTAGCGTTTTGCCAGCCCGGCGGTGCGTGAGCATATACTACAACCAGATGTGCTCGGGAACTCAGAACGGGCTTTCCGCCCACCTGGGCCAGCTCTCGCCCCCACCCGAAGCCCACCACATGGAGAGCGTGGATCACTTGAACCAAACCGAGCTCTGGACAGACGTTGACCGCAACGAGTTTGACCAGTATTTGAACATGAGCAGGACTCGTCCCGAAGCCTCGGGACTCCCTTACCATGTCTCCCTGTCCAAAGTGACTCCTAGGAGCATCTCCTGCGAGGAGAGCAGCTTGATATCCGCCCTGTCCGATGCCAGCAGCGCTGTTTACTATAGCCCCTGCATCACCGGTTAGGTTGGCCCCACCGCCCGATGCTCTCGCCGGGAGAGCCCCGTCTCTCCCCTTAAAAAAATAAAAACCAAAAAAGCCATCCTCCTTTAACCACGAGCTCCATAATATTTAGAGTATCTCATTAAATGCATCGCTTTTTTTGTTCGTTTTTTTGGTTTCGTTTGTGTTTTTTTTTAATTTTTTTTAAATTTTTTTTTAATTTTTGTTTTTGTTTTTGTTTTCTAGAGGAAAAAAAAAATAAACCATGCTGAACTCACTGATATACCGTATAACTATATAACACAGATAGATGCCTTTCCCCAGCACTAGCCTGCCTGCCGCGCTCCCCGCTCCAGCCCCCGGCAGGGCACAGCTCCAGCTCCCACCAGCTCCGAGGGGCATCATGAAGCCTGTTCCAGTAAATCCTGCCCAAAACAACCACCGCCAGGACCAGCCAAACCTGCCCCCCCAGTATTTAACCCAAGGGCAGGAGAACTTGTGGAGGTGGGGGGAGAAACTTTTAAGGAAGACTTTGCCGGGGCCGTTAAAGAGTCGGCGCCTGTTAGGGGTGGGCTTTAGGACAGTTTTTACTGTATTCTCAGCAATATATTTTAATTGGGCAACAAAACTATATTTTTACTAAGCATTTTTATATATAAAATGGTATTTAATGTCTTCTGGGTTTGTTTTTTTTATTAGACTTTTTAAAAATAAATCAAGGGATATCCATGAGATCTAAAGCATTTATGTAGCAAAGCTGGATTTAAAGAAACAAAAAAAAAAGTGGGGGGGGGGAACAGGAGATATTTTGTGAAAAGGGAATGACAATGTAAATATTGTGGAACAATTGACTGGAATTTTGTACAAAAGAAAAATATGACTGCAAACACTTTTATTGTCTAGAACTGTATGGAGAGCAAACTGTTTTATACTGGTTAATTATTAAAACATCTTCATATAATTGTTCCCATCTTGTGCGCTTGTTGTGTGAACACATATTTTCCGCAAATACATGTTGTCCCAACCATTTCCAGATTTTTTTGTATCCGTTGATTAATGTTTTGACAACCTGGCAGATGTATTAATTTCCAGGCTGCCGCCCGCCCGCCCCGTCGGCCGCCCCGGGCTCGGCGAGCGCGGCTGGGCTCGGCGCGGGACGGCGGCTCCGGCGGCTCCGGCAGCGGGATGGGACCATGGCAGCCTCCTGGAGATGTGCTCTGCAGGAAAAGCTGCTGTTCTCAGCTTTAAATATAATAAAAACATGTGATATCCTCCTCCGCAACCAGCCTTGGTGTGGTTATTATTAGCGTTTTGCCAGCCCGGCGGTGCGTGGTCCCCACGGCTCAACCCGTTTTCCCATCTAACCTCCCCAAAAATAGAGGCCGGGTGATGCTCTCGTCTTCAGAGCTGGAAGAAAACCCCATGTCCCAAAGCCCTTCCACCTTTTGGTCCCCACTGGCCAATTCCCAGCTCTGGCAGCTGGTGGGTCTTGCCGAGCCATCGCCGTGCCCATCCGGACCCCGCTCGGAGCCACCGGTGCTTCACCAGAGTTTCATCCCCCTCCTCTGAATCACTTCATCATTTACAGTGTTATTTTTTTGTTGTTGTTCAATTTGAAGAGGAGAAATGACAATCTGTTGCATAAAACCCTGGTGGCATCCGTTCCTTGAACGCCGAGTGATTTAAACCAGGCTGATATCGCCAAAAAAGGCTATTTAAAAAAAAAAAAAAAAAAAAAAAGTGACTAGAAGAAGAGTTTTTTTGTTGCTTTTGTTGGCAAAGAATTGCCTTTTAGGGGAAATGGATATTTAACAAATGACATTAATTTTCGAGCTTCTCCTAAATTAAATTCACATTAGTGTTAACAGGACTAAATCCTGACTCACTTTTTTTTTCTTTTTTTTTTTTTGCTGTTGTTTAATGTGAAGCGCTAATAAACGGGACCACTTTGGGGGCTGGCGACGTGTTCCCATTAAACGCCAGAAGGGCTCTTCATTGTCTTTCCATATACAGTATGCACAAAAAAAAAGGGGAATACATGGAAAAATGACCTCACTACCTACACGGGAGGGCTGGCGGGCGCCCGGCGGGTGCCAGATCCCGCGCCGCAGCAAACAAACACAACACCAAATGAGAAGCATCCTGTGCCGCCGCCGATGACTATGAAAGGAAGCAGCCCTCTATAGGCTCCATCCCCAGAGCGGCCCGGGGAGGAAGGAGATGGGGCGGGGGGGGGGGGGGGGGGGGGGGGTGTGGATAAAAGAAAGCCCTGACTTATTTTCCAGCCGCTTCCAGGTACCTTCCAGGCGAGGATGCCATCACTTCCCGCCGGTGGGAGAAGCCGTGCTGCCCCGCGGTGCCGGGGAAAGCCGGCAGCGGATCACAGCACGGAGGAAATGTTAAGTCATTTTTTTATTTTTTTTCCTGTGGCAGAAACTCCCTTCTTTCCCCACGGCTCAGGCCGTGCCAGCTCGTCCCTCCTCTCAGAGGATGGCTAGAAATCTTCGGGGTGTTTTTCCTGCTGCGGTTCCTCGCTCTGGAGCAATTTGGGTCCATCGTGCCCCAGTTTTGGGTGCTCACCGGCACTGGGCACAGAACTCCCTTCTTTCCCCACGGCTCAGGCCGTGCCAGCTCGTCCCTCCTCTCAGAGGACGGCTAGAAATCTTCGGGGTGTTTTTCCCGCTGCGGTTCCTCGCTCTGGAGAAATTTGGATCCATCGTGCCCCGGTTTCGGGTGCTCACCGGCACTGGGCACGGGCAGGAGTTTTCCCAAAGCACCTGCACTGCAAAACTGTTGAAAAATCATACTTTCCCCTGAGGCTGGGGAGGGGGAACGGGGGGGGGTCTCCTGGCTTTGCACCCAAGGATGCTGCCGCGGGGCTAGGGTGGGTACCGGACCGAAAACCGCAGGGTGATGGATGGTCACTCCCACCCATAAATGCATCATGTTGAAACCCTGGGTGGTTTGTGACTTGCAGGGATGATTTGCAGGGACACGCCGGGACCTGCCGTGCCCACCCGTCCCGGGGTCACCAAGACCCAGCTCCAGATTTGGGCTCCCTGGGTCCCCATCACTCTTAACACCCGCCCGGCGTTTGCCAGCAAAGCCCTGGCTTCGCTTCTCCACAAAAGCAGGCAGGGCCCTGCCAACCCTCCTGCCTAACTCAGCCCTGGGTGTTTTTATTAATAATAAAGCCTTAATTGCAGCCCAGGCTGCGAACAATGCGCGGCCGCCCCGTCTCGCTGCCCAGCCCTACCCCAGGTCACGGGGAAACAAGAGAGAAGGAAAAGGAGAGAGGAAGAAAACAGGAGCGTGGGTTTGGGTCAGATAACAGCAGGCAGAAGGACCCATGCCAGACCCCGGGGGATGCTGCCTCCTCCCATTGCTGGGTGTTTTGCACAGCTTTTTTTTTTTTTTTTTTCACCAAAACACCCCATTCTGGTCGTAAATTCATCAAGAAGTGTCTCAAGCCGGGGCTGTTCCTCCAGCCTGGTCTCCCAGCGGGCAGCGTGTGGCTGGTACCCAGCCAGCAGGACCTCCCCACGGTGTCAGACCCACAGCATCACATTTCAGTGGGGGTCAGAGCAGGATTTAGCTCTCCCCAGACCCAGGGTATGGCTGGACTGGTCGGCACTGGGGCTGGTCCAGCTCCATCAGGAGGTCAGGGAGATAGGCAGACCCTAGGGATGCTGGCTCCTTGATGAGCTATAACCACCCTGCTAATTAATTTGATGCTAAATCCACTGTCTCCCAGTTTTGCCAGGCTCTGGCTGTTTGACCACGGGAGTTTGCTCAGCTTGAGGTGGGTCAGTGCAAACCATAGGCCAGAGAACCCACCTGGGGATGGGATGGGATGGGATGGGATGGGATGGGATGGGATGGGATGCTCCAGCCGTGCCCACGGGTGCTCAGCGCTCCCTCCACCCCACTAGAACACATCCTGTGCCACTTGGGCACTGGGACCAGTCGGCCCTGACACTGGGAGAGCCTTTTTGTTTTTAACATCACCTCCTCTCCCTGCCCCCATCCCTGTGGAGCCGTGCTGGGGCCAGGAAACCATCCACCAGTGTTTTATTTCTCTGCGTGCCGGTGGCTCAGGTGTGACGTGGGACTGGAAATGGACGGGGCTGGAATAGTTTGGGGATGATTTCACCGCCGTTACGGCTCAGGCCGGGGCTGTTACCACGCAGCCCCTTCCGATTTTTATGACTTAATCTCTCCAAAGCTCCGGGCCTGATGGTTTTGGACTGGGGAGGAGGAGAGAGGGGCTCTTAGCAGGTCGTTACGGCAGAAATATGGAGAAGGTATTTGATGGGTACATGTAAATCCTGACATCTTGCCGCCTTTCCCGGGATGGCTGCAGGGGCAGGGAGAGGGGGAGGCACCACCAGGTCCTGCCTGGCCTTTATGGATGGGTGGCATCTGCTCCACGTCCCCTGGGGATGTGGGGCTGTGGATCTCCCCAGGCTCACTGCCCCACAGACCGGGGCTGCTTCTGCAGAGGCCCCGACATGCTGTGACACGTGTGAGTGTCACCAGCCCCTGGGGCAGCATGTGAAGTGTGGACACCCGTCCTGTCATTCCCTTCCTGTGCCACCCACCATGGCTGCCGCTGTGCTGTACGCTGGGGAGAGGGTCGGGGGGGCATGAGGGGGGTTGGGTGTGTGTGCACACATGTGTGTGTGCATCCCAAGATATCCATGTGCAAGTCTGTGTGTGCATCTATGTGTGTGTGCACCACTGTGTACATCCATGTGTGCGCACTTATGTATGTGTGTGCATCCCTGGGTATCTGTGTGTGTGCATCTGAGTGTGAGCGTACACGTGTGTAGCCGTGCGTGTGCATCTCTGTGTGTGTATATACGTGTGCAAGTCCCTTTTTTGTGTATCTGCATGTGCATGGCTCTGCACATGCATCCACGTGTGCATTTGTGTGTATCCATGTGTGCTTTGTGTGCATCCACTGCAAGTCCCTTTTTTGTGTATCTGCATGTGCATGGGTCTGCACGTGCACCCACGTGTGCATCTGTGTGTAACCATGTGTGCATCTCCACATGTGCCTCTGTGTGTATCCATGCGTGCATCTGCCTGTACATGCATGTGTGTGTGCATACATGTGTGCCCAGGCATGTTCATCCATGTCTGTGGGTGTGCATCCATGTGGGTGTGCATCTGTGTGCATCCGTGTGTCTCCATGCCTCTGTGTGTGCATCCATGTGCATCCACATGCATCCACGTGTGCATATCCACATGTGTGTCTGCCTGTACATGCATATAGTTGTGCATACGTGTGTGCACAGGCATGTTACCCCGTGCCTGCATGTGTGCATCCATGCACATCCACGTGTGTGTGGCATCCGTCTGTGTGCACACGTGTGTGTGCACTCCCGCGTGCGCGTGTGTGTTCTGCTGGAGGTTCACTGCCCAGGTTTATAGACGTTCTGGGGTTTGTTTTTTTTCTTTTTTAACGGCGTTTTAGAGCTCTGGATGACATCACCCCAATATTAAAACAGCATGTGCCAGCCGGCCGGGCCCGGCCACGCGCCGCTCGGGGCTCGTCGCTCCCGAGGCCGAAGGAAGCCACGGCGGAGCCGGGGGCGAGCGGGACTCACCGGGGCAGCCGACGGCAGCTCCGGGGCAGCCTGAACCATCCCGGCCCGGAGCCCGCCGGAGGGGAGGGAACGCCGACACGCGGCCCTGGACGCCCAGCCCGGATGAAGTCATCTCAGCTGGGACGTTAAGGGGGAATTCCAGCTTCTGGATCCGTGTATTTTGGGTGCTCACCGCCACACGTCCCCGCGGCGGGGGACACCGGTGGGAACGGGGAGATGCTGGTCCCCCACCCACAGCACTGGGCAGCTGCTCTACTGCTAGAGATGGGATTTTTATTATTTTATTTTTTTTCCCTCTTCCACTGAAAAAGAAAAAAAAAATAAAATAAAAAAGAAGATTTATCAAAACCAAACCTGT